CTCTTTCCCAACCCAATGTGCCACAAAGGTCTATTTCTTGCATTGTTATAGCATGTCGCAGGCATGCTTATTGGTTCTTTGGTTTTGGTTTCATCAACTTATAACATGTCGTGTCTTATTTCACTTTCTTCCTGCAGAGACTTGAGGTGACAGAATTCTCTGGACTAAGATCCACTTCATGTGTCACCTATGCTAACAATGCCAGAGAATCTTCCTTTTTTGATGTCGTAGCTTCCCAACTCACTCCCAAGGTTAGTTTCTTATAGTCTATAGCTATGACTTATGATTTATCCATTACCATCTTTTTTAATGATCATGAGAGTTTCCTTGCTTTTATGAGTTATAAGTATATATATATGACAAAAAAAACTTAGATACAGGATTATGGGTATTGTTCTTCAATCAAAATTGAAGTTTTATTTTAGTAAAATACATTGACATTTAATAGAATTATTTATTAGACATATTACTAAAATGAAATTCGAATTTTAAAACTGAACAGCACTAACAACAGCCAAAGTATATTGTGTAAGTTTTATCCTATATACCCTCCCTCTAGGAAATGTTAGATTCACAACATGTATGCTAAAGAAAAAATTGAAAAATGCATAGCTGAATTGTTTCTTTCAAAATTATATAGTGAGCTATGAAGGGAATATCATAACAAATTACAAATAGTTGTCATCTTTGATAACTGGAGCTAAATAAGTTCAATGTGTAATGTAAGCCTTTCTTTTTTTAATTTGCAAATTGAAACTAGACCAATGGATCAACTCCTGTGAGGGGAGAGACAGTGGCCAAGTTGAAGGTGGCAATCAACGGTTTTGGACGCATTGGTAGAAACTTCCTTCGCTGCTGGCACGGCCGAAAAGACTCACCCCTTGAGGTCATTGTTGTCAACGATAGTGGTGGTGTCAAGAATGTAAGTTTTCAATTGGCTTGGTTGAGTTTGTTTTGTTGGCACAGAATAATTAGTTTCACTGAATGGAATAGTTGTGAGTTGTGACCTTCATTTTGCTTCACATGTCCCAGGCTTCGCACCTGTTGAAATATGATTCTATGCTGGGAACCTTTAAGGCAGATGTGAAAGTACTAGACAATGAAACCATCACCGTTGATGGTAAGCCCATCAAGGTTGTTTCCAACAGGGACCCTCTTAAGCTTCCTTGGGCTGAGCTTGGAATTGACATTGTTATTGAGGTAACTCCCCATTACTTGATTAACTTTAAGAGTGTAACCGTTGGTATGACTTATTACTTATTTATAATAAAATTCAATAATATATCATAAATGATGATTTGTGATTAGATGACACTATAAAATTACTTTAAGAATGTAAAACTACATTACATGATCAGTGCATCATGTGTTTTCTCTTATTTTAAACATCATTTTGATGGAGTGAAAATCTCTCAGATTGCTTATTTGTCGCAAAGATTCTAAAAAGAATGAATGATTTTTGTTCAGGGTACAGGAGTGTTTGTGGATGGACCTGGTGCTGGCAAACACATCCAAGCAGGTGCCAAGAAAGTTATTATCACTGCTCCTGCAAAGGGTGCTGATATTCCAACTTATGTTGTCGGAGTAAATGAACAGGACTACACTCATGAGATCTCCAACATTATAAGGTCCGTGACAACAAAGGCTGTGCTATGCTGTGTGTGTCAATGAAACATTTTCTGCCAATCCTTGATTATTCATGTTCCGATCCTTATAAAAGGTTGCATTTGTTCTTTCTTTTGTTTCTTCAATGTGCAGCAACGCTTCCTGCACTACAAACTGTCTTGCTCCCTTTGTGAAGATCCTGGATGAAGAGTTTGGTAAGCAAAAACTCATCACACTGGCAGTTATTATTTGAAAGCGATATTCCAGGCTCAAAGTCACTTCCCTTTGGTCTATGTTTCCAGGAATTGTGAAGGGAACCATGACAACCACACATTCCTACACAGGAGACCAGGTACAAGATCCATCAACCACTAGTTTGTTGGAATCCAACATTAATTACTTTTCAAGTGTTCTAGTTTTATACAATTGATCAAATATCTGTAATAAATAGCAAAACATTTTTACCAAGTCATGTTCCAACTGAAAATGGATATAACAAGTTATCAGTATAGCTAAGCTAGAATTGTGGATGTGATTGTGTAGAGGCTTTTGGATGCTTCACACCGTGACTTGAGACGAGCCAGGGCTGCAGCACTGAACATTGTCCCAACCAGCACTGGAGCAGCCAAGGCCGTGTCTCTGGTGCTGCCAAAGCTGAAGGGAAAGCTGAATGGCATTGCTCTCCGTGTGCCTACACCCAATGTTTCAGTCGTTGACCTTGTGGTCAATGTTGAGAAGAAGGGTCTCACTGCTGAAGATGTGAATGGAGCATTCAGAAAGGCTTCAGAGGGGCCACTGAAAGGTGTATTGGACGTGTGTGATGTTCCACTTGTGTCTGTTGACTTCCGCTGCTCTGATGTTTCTTCTACTATTGACTCATCCTTGACCATGGTCATGGGAGATGATATGGTTAAGGTTGTTGCTTGGTATGACAATGAGTGGGGATACAGGTTGGTCTCTTATTTCACTCTCCTTTAGGTGGGTTTCTAGTGCTGTTATCTGATCAGAGTTAGAGTTTCTCATTAGTAATATGCATAACAAAAAAATTCTAATCCAAGAACAACACCAATTTTATCCTAAATTAAACTCTCTGGTCACTAACTTGTTTTTTAAAAACATTTTGAGGAGATACAATTAGATTACAACATTCATGATCATGCCTTTTTTATTAGTTGTTATTGCATATACATGTCATTGTTGGATTGATTAAAGTTACTTGTTGTGATGGATCACGTTATTAATTGATGGTTACAATATTTGTGATTGTAGCCAAAGAGTGGTGGATTTGGCACATCTAGTAGCAAGCAAGTGGCCAGGGGCACCTAAAGCAGGGAGTGGAGACCCATTGGAGGATTTCTGCCAGACAAACCCTGCTGATGAGGAATGCAAAGTTTATGAATAGAGGAGGAGATGAGAGGCCTTTTCTTAATTCATTACCATTACATTTTTACTCTTTGCCTTGTATGATGTGAAAATAGAAGGAATTGTTCAGACAGACAGTGTCTGAGGGAAGATTTTTACACTTTAAATTTTATCTGCAGCCAATAATAAGTTTTGGCGTGACTGAAATTCATGAACATCACCCCCATATATTGATTCATATTGCATTTCTAAATTCTGGTAACTGATTTACAATTCTTTGAATCGTTTTTAGATAAACAAAACAAATCAATTACTCCTCCACCAATAATCCGTGTGATGTACATGAATAATTTTACTGGGAATAGAATTTGGTGAGCCAGGCCCATCTAGTAGAAGCAATATGGCCCAGTTCCTCGTTTAGCCTCTGGACATGGACACTTGCATTATAATTTTATCTAGTTACTTGTATTTAATATAAATCTATTTAATAATATGTTTATGCATATTATTGTGATAAATTTTCAACTTTGATTAATGAGCCATATTCATTGCACTTAAGAAGTTTTATATAAGTTTTGTCTTTTTGGATAACATCATTCATCACATCTATCAGACTATCACCTTCTCTCTTTCTATTTTTTCTCTCTCCTATTTTCACCTAAATTCACGCCAAAATGAGATGGATGAATATCATGTTCCTCATTAATCATTGTTGCAATATTGGCATTTTCCTTTTTATATTTTCAGGCCACATAGAAGTTAGTGTCATTTACTCTTTAGAGATAAACAACATCTAGTAAATCTAATGTCATTACACATGTTTAATTGTTAATCGTAGATAATTTTAGATAACAGTAATAAAAAAATATTATTGATTTCAGATTATATTTTAGGAACCAGAATCAGATTTTTTATTAACCAAGATTTTTCTAAAAATAACTGTACAATGTTCAATTAAAATTAACAGGAAGGAGTCAAATTAAATGTTAAAATAAATAAATAAATAAACAAGAAAGTTTAAAATAAAGATTGACAAATAAAAATAAAGGACAAAGAACAAAGTAAATTGTAATATATTAATGGCAATTGACAAAGTTAGCAGTGAAGATGGAAGATATGTATTGATATAATTGATTTAGAATTATGTAAATTTGTAAAATTGACTTTGATTTGATTTTCGTATTGAATATTATTTAAAATTTTATATACCAAAATTGATTTTGAATATATAATTGTAAATTTAGACGAATAAAACTCTAAAATTGATTTTGTTTGATGGAGAAATTATTAATAGTTATTTTTAAGTGGATGAAAAATTGATCATTTTGAAATTAATTTTGTTAATAATAAAATTGTAACAAGTATGATTGTGATATTTTAAACATAACAAAATTAATTATCAACATATTAGAAATAGGGATGACAAAAATATCTATAACTGCATATATTTGTAGATAAAATTCGTCACAGATAATAAATTAGTTACTTAAATGGATACTTGCGAATAATGAGTACAAATATTTTTTTTACCAATTTATTAACGAGATAGGAACATGTATGATATTAGTATCCATACTCACAGATATCTACTAAATAAAATTAATTAAATTTTCATATTTTTATCTTATATTTTTTATATTATTTTTAATATTTTTAAAAATTTATTAGTTACAAATTCAAAAATTAATATTAATTATTTATATTTAATATTTTAATATAAATGATATCAAATATAAGCTTAAGGTTATTTATAATATATTTTTATTTTTAAAAAAATTTAGATATTTATAGATATTCACAAATATTTATAAAATACTCACTTAACATATATCTAAACAAATATTATAAAAAAAATTTATTTAATGAAACACATACAAGTACCCTACTTGTCCAAAGACGCCATTGAGATCCCTAATCTTAAGTAAAACAAAAGATGCACTTACACAATAGAAAGACTTGAGTTAAAAAAATTCAAGTTATTTTGATCACAAAACTACTGCTATTTATAGACTCCAACAGTCAAAATTACAGTGCAGTGCCCCTAACAATTAATCAATTTGACTAAAAAAATCAGATTCTGGTTCCTAAAATATGCATAATTCGTACGGGCATGACCAATATGTAATTAATCAGAGTGGAATTGGCATAAAGTCTTTAAATAAGATTAAATAATAATAATTAAACCGAAATACTGCATTGAAGGTAACTAACAGAATTTCTAACAAAATTTAGTCATCATGGTAACTAATGATAATTTGATTAAGAAATCTTAAAGATTATAGCGCCCTCAAGATATTCCTCCAGACAGAAAAAAGATGACTCAGTTGACTAAAGTTTCCTTTTTCCTCGATTTCAGGCTTTTCTTCAATAAAGTAGTTATACTTATATCATGTGAATGTGATTCCCTTGTACTAGATTCTAGGACTAGGAGTAGCTGGATCAATTTGACTCTCAGCATGCACGTTGGAAACGTGGAAAATCACGTTAGCTTCCACCTTAAACGTGGTTTTCCACCTTTCCAACGTGCATACAAACACGCTAAGAATTTGGATGAGTTAAGAAAAATTAAATTATATTAATTTTAATTAAATTTTAATTCAATTTACTTAATCCATAAGTTAAACGTATTTAAATTTAAGCAGTTAGATCGATTCGTTTAATCCATTATTAAAAAGAAATTAAAAAATATAGTTATATTTTGATCAATATTCTTTTACATATTTATATTTAAATCAATGATAATTTTTGGATTAAAAAATCATAACTCTTTATTTTATTTATTAAAAATAGGAATATATAATTTTTTTTTTCTTTTTATAAAAAATTTGATGAGTTAACCCATTTAATTCATCAATCCGTGATAAGTCAAGTCGGGTTGAAATTTTTCTGACTGATCCAGAAAGTAAGCTAGAAGTAATTGCTTCATTTAATGCCTATAATTATCTTTAAATTTTTTTTCTCTTAAATATAATTTTAGTCATCCAAAATTAGAATAACTTTGTTTTACTTTTTCAAATTTAAAATTATTTTTTAATCTTATAATTTTTAAATTTCTTATTTTAGTCTCTCAAGTTACTAATAACACATCTAAAAGTAATAATTTGAGATAATTATCCAATATCAACTAAATTTAATCTTATGTATTCACTAACAGAGACTAGTAAATAAATTTTATACAATAATATTTGATAAATTCTTTAAAAATATATTGATTATAAGGATTAAAATAATATTTTTTAAAAAAATTAAAAGAATTAAAAAGATCAATTATAAATTTGAAAGACTAAAAATAAATTTACCTTAAATTTAATAAACTTAAAATATATTAATTTAAAAAATTAAGAATATATTTAAGTCGATTTTTTTAAAATCTCTAAACATTAGCGCTACTCAGTTGCTTTTTATTTTCAAGTTTTGATAAAATTAATTTATACTTAAGAATAATACCTTAAAGTAAATTCAAAAATCATTAATTTTAGTTGGCTGTATGTAGTATGTTTTTAATAATATATATTACTTGTATATAAGATTTTTTTTCACCTCCCTTACGATTATGAATTGTATTAATTGTATTTTTCTAAAACATTTTTATTTAATTAACAATTCTTTTTAGATAAAATAATAATAGATATTTAAAATTAATTAGATAAAATTCTCTCCTTTTTACGGGAGAAGATGAGTAGATACAAACATTTTTTTCTTACAAACATTAATTAATTAGGTAAAAAATATTAAGTGAAAAAAGAGAGAGTTAATTTTAGAAAAATAGTCTAAATTATTGATAAATTTAATATTTTAACTAAATTATTTTTTACATTATTAATTTTTTTTAAAAAAAGTATAATTTAATTGATAGAGTCTGATAGTTAGGGAGGTAGTGTTATATATATAGAGAAGATTTGACTTGAAGAAGAAGAGTGATCTCAAAGATATTTCTCACATATGGAGAAAACTTTGTAATTAACAATTTTATTATAAAGTTTCAAGTCAAAACACCGATTGTTGATGTAATTTTGTGACTCGATGAATGTTATTCTGCACAGTGGACTTGGAGCAGTGACGTTCTCAATCCTAAATGGCTAAATAGATAGATTAGGAGCGCTAAACTTGATACGTGAAGAGATAGAAAATGTGCAAAACTTCAAATATAAATCTACTTGATTTTTTGTGATAGAAAACAACTAATGAGCTCGTTATAGAAAACAAAAGCAATCTGTGATGGGACGAGGTTCTCCCTCGACATTAATGACATGTATAAAATGTAACATAAGTGTTGTGTCAAATTGTTCTCTGTGTTCATAACATATTCTTTGTAAATATGTTCCAAGATATATCCTATGAGAAGAAAAATTTATAATCACTACAAACATTAGCAATGCTCTGAATTTTGGGATTTTTACAGTGATAGCATTGCTAAAGATCAATAAATAATGAATGACATCAAAGTGTTGATTAGGCCATTATTTGCACCCTCTTTGGCTGCCTTCCCGGTTGATCATCAAGCGAACTTTCGTCTCCGTTCCTCTTTCTTCCTTTACTCCTTGATGGATCTTTCTTCTCGTCAATGAGTGCAAGAAATCTTTGAAAACGACCAGAAATTGTGTTAGCACTAGAAGCAGGTTCTGAAGGAGGAAATTGCCATAACTGGAACATAAGCTGCAAAAAATGCAAGAGAAGAGCAACAAAGCAAGCTATCCCGCAAATGAGAAAGAGACCCCAGAAGCTTTTAAGCTTAAGACGATCTGAATCAATTTCAGCATTGTCTAAACTACAAGAGCTTCGTGTCATCCACTTATCATGAATCCTCTGTAGATCACCGGTTTCAGAGAGTTGTAGAATGGCAGTTGACATATCCACAGCCAGAGGGGAGTCCCGAGGGAATGCCTAGCATGGCAAACAAAATGAGTATTAGGATAATAATTTTGATAACATAAACTCCTTATCATGAGTTTTTCTCATGCATATATATTAGCAATTTTCCATATCCATAAGCAACTTGAGGAGGAAAAGCAGAAAAGAAAATCAAGAAAACATGCGGCTGTTACCATTGATTCAGTTTTTCCATCCAAGATATTTGAAAGACAGTATAATCACAGATGCTTGGAACATATCCTAATATTCATGCTAACATAATTACAACTAAACTAGTCTTGTGAAAAACATCATTGAACAGAATAAATGAGTTAGCCACATGCATATATTACCATATTAAAGTGCACAAGTAACTGAGAAAGAAGATTTATATTCATGAGAAAATAGTTCATGCCTCGAGGATTTTATTCTGGCATCCAATCACAAATTGATACGTATGATAAGTTATTTTGTCATCCAATCACAAATTGACATGTATGATAAACTTGTTGACAGTACATAGAAAATAAACTCTGTTAATTCTTGACCAACCAACTTTTGATTCACCTTTTGAAAGAAATATAACAATCACATTAGCAATGCATTAAAAAATCCTTTTTTGATTCGAGTGTTTATTGATCTAAAGGGTACAGAACTAGAGATACTCACAAAACCCCAGCCACTTCTAGTGAACTCCTGACCTACAATCCTGAATGTGCACTGGGTTGATAAGAAGATTTCAACATAGGGTCGTTCATCAACAATAGCAGCAACACCTCCTTTTTTGGGACCAAGCTGGAGGGCATTAGCATATTCTTCTGGAGATCCAAGGGGAACAAGCCTAGACTTGGATATTCCAATATCTTGAACCAAGTAATGTTCTGCAAATGAACCCACTTGGAACCCTATAGGTTCATCACTAGCTTTTAAGCTATCTATTCCATTGATAGAAGAAGATAACTGTTGCACTGTGAGTATGGATGTTAAACTTGCAGTGTAGCTGGAAGTGAGGATCAAAACCACAAATAACCATATGAGCATCACCAACCGACCTAGAGTACTCATGGTATTCTCTCCTGCAGAAGTAATGAAAAAATTACCCAGTAAACAAGCTTCATTGTGTCCTTCCACTAAATAAAAGTAACTGAAGTATCACTTACTGTGGGAAAAAAACAGAGTTGACAGGCTAAACCTGCAGGCATGATTAAAATAGATGGATCAGATACAATTGACTATTGAGATCACTCAGTTTAAGCATGATGATGAACCATATCCTGCAACTGCTCCACACAATAGTTAATGCCAGTGTAAATTCTAAATGCTTTCTGCATCCTATTATAAGCACAGTGGCATGAAAACCCAGTATACATGATGCTAACAAACAGACAGGTGCTGCCAACTTTTTTTTTCCATGGACCACAGCCGCAACTACCTTTTGGTTATAGTTTTCATTGATAGCGTCATATGTAAAAGGTATGCCACTATTAAGCTAGGTACAGCAGTAATATAATCAAGTAAAAAACTGACCATAACATGGTTATAATTTGCTGTCTAGGTGGACCCCTGAACTCATCATTTATCCTGTGCTCAAGAATCCATACAACTAGCCCAATGAAAAAGAAGAAACAAACAGTCACAATCCACATAAGAGGAGTAAAAGGCCGCAGGAAAGACCAACCGCCAGAATTGATTTTCTTGAAAGGGGCCACTACAACAAGTCCAGATGCAGCATATGGTTGTGTAAAATCTACAATCCTTGTCCGGTTTGTGACAATAGCAATGTCACCAATGGCACCATCAAAGAACTGTACCAAGGAAATGAACTATTTAGCCAATTGAACAAAATAACCATGCCGCAACATGTTAGTGTACATAGAAAAATCAGAGTTCACATTTATGAGGCATTATTACTTACACCAGTTGTGATTAAGTTGACAAGTTCTGTGTAACTTGGATTTTGGTGGCCGTCTCCAAATGGGACAAAACGGTATGGAACAGCATAAGGCAACAAGTTCACAGCTGCTGTGAACACATCAACACAGAAACCTTTAAACATCTCGGTTCCCTTCACTGGTGACACAAATTCACGGTAACTGACTCTTATAGGCACACCAATTCTCAATTGTCTACCATTATTTGGGAAAACCCATCCACGGGGTTTAGATAATGTATCTCCAGGCCATATCACACTGTGTAGCTTCTGGTTTGCACTTGACCTATTAGGTGGCTTTGCATACAATATCTCAGGAGATACAATTGACAAACCAGAATAGTTGGACCAGTAACCAACCCTCCTAAGGCCAGTTCCAACCACATTTAGGATATCATAGGCAGGTTGAACAAGAGACCGATCTGGTTGGAATTTCATTCGACCCGATAATCCAACAAAATCACTCTGCAATATGTTCTTCAACAGAAGCGTTCCATTGTCAAAAATGCTCATTGCATTAAGGTTAAGCTCACCTCCCTTATCACCAGTTGTGTAATTGGTACACGAAACAATCCCACCCTGACTGAAAAAGGCATCAATAGCACGAGCAACCAGCCAAACAGAATCATAAGCATAGAGACCATAAGAATGTAACCCCAAAGAGCCACCAGTTAAATTATTCCACCTGGAGAGAAACACCCTTTTTCTATCTGAATCAGGTGTATGCTGGCGCAAAACAAGTACTCCCTGGAGAACATCCATTGTCTCCGAAGGGAGAGAAAAAGAATCCAAAAGAGAAGAGAGCCAATCTGTGACTATCCACACATAGCCATTGTCTGTCATCCCAAGATAACGCGCCACATTGAAAAGCATAAATCCAGAATCAGTTTGTGCATGGAGAACAATGACCCTAGATTGCATTAGTGCCACTTTCACAAGCAAACTTGTAATCTGACCACGGTCAACTTCAGTTCCTGATTGAATCCCTTCCTTGAAGGAGATTTTACAGCGCCTTGCAGCGAGTTCATCATCCAATGCAGCCACACCATTTCGCCCATAATCATCATCCACATATATGGCAATCACCTCTTTCCAACCATAATAATCAATGATTTCAGCAACCGCCTTCATTTGGTACAAATCACTCTGTGTTGTCCTCACAAAGAAAGGAAACTGCAGCGATGAAAGAGTAGGGTCTGTTGCAGCAAATGACAATAAAGGAACCCTTAGCTCATTTGCAACATGGGATATTATGTGGGCAACCACAGAAGATTGTGGGCCTATTATAGCAACCACATCAGTCTCCATGAACCGCAAAGCTGCAATCAATACAAGATATTTATCACCGACTCCGAGTAACAAATTAAAGGACAAGACTTTTTAAATGGAAGAATAGAATAGATTATTATTACCTTGAACCATGCCTATGAAACCACTGGAATTGGAACTTTGCATAGTGAGAACGAGTTTAGTTCCATTAAGAATGTTGCTGTTGGCGTTCACATCCTTGACCGCTTCCACCAATGCAATTTTTGCCACTTTCCCAACAACGGAATCGATGTTGAAGATTGCTCCAATGTTCACAACAGCGGGTCTTGAAGATGACACGTTTGCAGCAGCCACAAACAGAGAGACTGATACCACCCAACAAAGAACCCAAAAGAAATTCATCTCAACCAAGAACGAATTTTGAAGCATCCACTGCAACACACAAGTGGTGAGTTCGTCATTAAGCAAAAAGAAGGAACTTTTGATAAGTTGGGAGGGATTTGAAAGCGAAATATTAGGAAAAACTAAAAGAGATACAATGGTATGCTGTAGTGGTGCTAGATTTAGAAATTGGATACGAGGTAAAAAAACATGGGAGATTAGTGTCTGATATGTGGGAGACTAAAAAATTGGTAGTAAAAAGGAGTGGGTTTGGTGTGGGAGTGGGACTCACATCACCTGCAAATTGTGAATAAATTAATAAAGCATTTAACAGACCAAACCAATCCACACAGCCTAAGCTTCTTCCACCTTTCACATGTTGAATATTTATATTGATATAAACGTTGGAACACACATGTTAACGTCTTTTAACTTGAAACTTCCTCCACAAAACTTCAATCTCAATCCCGCCAAAAAAGTGAGGAATGAAATGAACTCAACAATCCAGATTATTATATGACTCCTTCACTTGTTGTCTCATTTTAGGAGAAACTGTTATGTCTACTGAAACCTATAATACTTATATCCTCCTTCCTACTGCGCTAATTTCGTTAAAAGAGATACGATTGTTGATTAAAGATGATTGATGCACGCCAGTTCACTACTGAAACATTTGATGGTTATAATTTTATTATTTTTATAAGATTATTTCAACATATAACTCTTTTTCAATCGGTTAGCAATGCTTGATTTTGTTTTTATCATCTTCCAAAAATTTCTTACTCATTGAAATATATATATATTTTATAAATTATTGTTTCTCTCAACAACATTAATAAGAAGAAATTTTTTATTAATTGGTTCAAGCTTTGGATGGTGAAAAAAGAAAATCTTTCTTATAAATTAATCTGAAATTTATCACAGTCTTACAAAATTGACTTATATATACTATTATAATCTTATCTTAATCAATGTAGAATTTCTAACATATTTTTTATTAAAAAAAAATTAGATATGTTTAATCAATATAGAATTTCCAACATATTTTTCATACCAAAAATTAGACTTGAATGTGAAATTGACAAACTTAAAATCTAAATCAATTTCACAAAATTGATTGGTAAAATAAAAATTATTTTTCACTTCCATAAACTATTATGATTTTATATGTGTCGATATAATCTAAGTGACTTATTGACATAATAAAGTATCAATAATATACTTTTGATAAGACGTAGATTGTCCCGAGTTCAAGACGTGGGGCGTTTCTTAATTTCATGAAAAGCGAACATAAAAGGTCGACTTAATTGATGTAACAAAGATTTGTACAAACTTTATACGATAATGAAGAATATATTTAAAAAAGTGTTAATGTTAATATTTGAATGTTGAAGAATTGAAAGTCGAAGTTTCTGTTTTTTATTTATTATTTATTCAATATTCTTTCCTTGAGCGCGAATAAGAAGTTTTCCTCTTTTTCCCACGAAACACACCAAGAATAATCTAAACTGACTTGTAAGATTTCCCCTCACAGGACCAAATAAGTGTCTCATTTTGCTTTCATTAGTTATTACCTGAATTACAATTTGAAATTTTCAAATACAAAATTGAAACACTACAAGTTTACTAACATTTACGAAAACAATGTACAATGATATTCTAAATTCTTTGCGTAATGTATATCTTAACAATTTTATGGTCAAAATTGCAATATAAATTCTCTTATAATTATTTTTTAAAAATAAATATGTATTGTTATTTATTTAAATGTATTCTTATTTTAAGTGATAAATAAATTTATTCATGTAATTAATGTTTTAGAAAAAAAAAATAGCAAATTAAATGTTAATGATACACTTTTAACTATTTGGCTTAAATATATTTTTAATTCATTAAATTTAGGGTAAATTTATGTTTATCCTTTAAAATTAAATTGTTTCTTTTAGTCTTATAACTCTTAAAAATTTTATTTTAGTCCTTCTAATAGTTTTATTAACAAAGACAATAATATATAGATTTCATGTAATAATATTTAATAAATTTTTAAACAAAATTTAAGTATAAAAATTAAAATAAATGTTTTAAAATTATAAAGACTAAAAATATCAATTTTAAATTTGAGAGAGTAAAAATATATTTAAGAATAACTATTTTTATTTTTAACATATGATACATTTTTAATTATGGGTGTTCGTGAGACGCCGGATGGAGACAATTTGATTTATATTTCTACCAAACAATATTTGGGAGAGATAGGAAGAATCTAACCTGTTGGCACAACGTATATACTCTTCAATTTGATAGTAGCTGTGTGTTGTTAGTATTATATTGAGAATTAAACTGATAATTTCATGCAAGCTAGAGTGTCTAATCAAATTATCAGTTTAATTAGTGACTAATCAAACAAAAATTTCGTAGTTGCAGTGGCACTGTGGCAGTGTCTATGCCTTTCGATATATAATTTCTTTGTAAAACAGTAAATATAGATTCATCACACTTTCACGTTTTCATTTCATTTTTTTTTATCTTTTTCTTTTCATTTTCATCACATGATTGATTAAATCTATTATTTTCTCTCTAGTTTATCTTTCTAGATTCTTTGTTAAACAAATTTATAAGATTCAATTCTTAAAAAAATTATATTTTTTTCCTCATAGTCAAATTAGACCTTATAATTTCAAACACTTAAAATACTCATCATGTAATTATTGTTAAAAACACAATAATCAAAAAATACCTACAATGTTACAATTAAATATGTTAAAACAATTTTGTTCATGTTGATTCACGTATTTAATGGTAACAATTCAATAATTTAAATTTGTTGTAAAAAAGTTTTAAATCCTTCTAAATTTGTTGTAAAAAAGTTTTAAATTATTTATCTTAGTAGTGTTAAATAAACGTAAATCAAATATAATTTTTCTAGTCTAAAAGCTTTTCTATCTAAAAATAATACACGATTCCCTTTCCTTGAGTTTTTTTTTCTTTTATAAAAAAAACTATTATTGCCATAAACAAATTTATGAGAAAAATGGTAGCATCAAATTTTTTTATTTATTTATGTAGAATGAAATCAACAATGTTAGAATCTGAAATCTTATGCGCACTCTCAATTCGCTCATTAAGCTGATCTTGAACATTTTATTATAAATTAAAATTTATTCAAAATTATAATTTTTATGAAAGTATTCGTTTCATATTTAATCTTTTGATTTTATAATTTTTAATAAATTTTAATCAATATTAAAGTGTGTATTACTAGTACTTTTTAATTTTTTTTTTTTTTTTTTTTTTTTTTTTTTTTTTTTTTTTTTTTTACCTAAGTAAAAAAGTCATTACTCCTCAATTTATAATATCAGCATAAAGATGTTTTGAGTATATAAAACACTCAACTATAGATGTTAAATCAAATTTCTTTTTGACAAAAATTAGTTTTTGATAAAATTTGTAGATCATTCATATCTATAATATAAAAAAATATTATGATTTACATTTATATATTTTATTTATACTAACAATTAAACGGTAATCAATATATTTTAAATTTATTAATTGAGTGTGTCGTCTAATATGTAGATTCAACAATAAATTCACGTTTATAATATAAAAGTTATAACTGAAAATTTTAAATTTAACGTAGAAAATCATGTCCATAATAAATTATCTGTGACTAATATTTTTCAACACCCATTTTTTTCAAATTCCTAATCAATAATCGCTTCTCAACTTATCATGTCACCTATAGCAAATAGATTTAGGATTAGCATCCTTACTCTAGTTGTTTAAAAATAATATAACGAGAGATCGAGTTCAAATTTTGGTTAAAAAAAAAAAAAGATTTTAGGTGCCTGAGTATTATTTTTCTTGTCAATTTGTGCATAAATTAAAAAAAGGAGTTTGCGTTCAGTTGAAAGTTGAAACATGTGTAGCTTTATAGCATGATGTGGGGGAAATAAAAGATATGTTGAATGGAATAAAGATAAAGATTAGATTTGTGTTGAGGCAAAAGCAAAGACACCGTCCTTTCAATTGCAGAATGAATGTGGACAAGATGCGCCTATAGTTTTTTCTTTTTTAATCATATTATTCTACCAAATACTACTTTTAAAATAATTAATTTTTGTAAGATAATTTATTCTATATCCAGTAAAGTAAGATACAGGAAAATTAAAAAAAATGCGAGATAAATAATTGATGCAATAAAAATAAATTAAAAAAAATTGTTTTATGTAAATACTACAATACTTTCATAAAAAGAAAAGAATAAAGTGGGAATTGGCCTAATAATAATATAAAATAAAAATGCATGTGGACGCAAAATTGCAGGCTTTTGAACTGATCTTGGTTGTTTATATACAGTATTTGCACTAAATTCTTTTTTTCTTTTATATTTTAATTTTTATTTGTCTTTATCTTATTTGGAATGAAAAAGTCTCTTAAATTAATAATTATAAAGTTTGTCCCAAAACATAAAGAGTCAATTTAGTATTCTAAGACTCGCAACATAAAATTCTTATTTCTTTTTCACTTTCCTTTTTTCCTTTATTTTTATTTTCTTTCAAGTCTATAAATCTTGATTCTGATTTCCTTCTTCTAAGGTTGAGGCGGTGAGCACCAAGGTGGTCCATCAACCCTTCTCCATCTCTTGCAAACTCAAAGACATGTGGAGCTAGCTGAGAGTCGAATCTTCTTCTTCATCTTCCTTTTCTCTTTCCCGGAGCTCAGGATTCTTCTTCTTTGAGGTAAGGGAAGTTAGTTTTCGTGCGGATTGATTGTGAATGAGTTTAGGAACTCAAATGCTGCTTGATTTCATAAGATTGATGGTTGGATTGGAGAGTTCTTCGTTTTCGGGGTTTCGGGAAAATTGGGAAAAATTGTGATTTTGATGTGTTTGGTGGTTGCATGTTGAAATAGAGCTTGTTTTTGAGTTGTATGATGTAAATGTGGTTCGTTTCATGGATTGCATGTGTTTGAGCTAGCTGATTTGCAAGTGTTGTTTGAAAATTTCAAAGTTGTGAGGGTTGTTGTTTGAAATTGCGCCAGGCACAGTTCTTGACATCGGGCGTGAGTTCATCAGGGAATTCCATTGTCCAAGCACGTCGGGCGCTAGGTTGGTTGCGCCGAGCGAGGTTGGGAATGGAAGTCTCTGGGTGAATCACGCCGGGCGTGGGGAGAACCGCGTTGAGCGTGATATCAGATAGTGGCTCAAAAAGTTGAGTCACTGGGTGTCGAGATTCCATGGGAGTCTTTGCCTGGGGCGGCGCCGGACGCAGAATGAGCGCGTCGGGCATGAGACCCTAGTGAAGTCTCTACCTTACTTGCGCCGAGCGCGAGTTTGGTACGCCAGGCTTGAGAGACTCCTTGGAGTCTCTGCCTCCTATTGCACCGGACACAATGGTAATGCATTGGGCATGTAAGAGCTTTAGAGCTCTTGGGTTGGGTCCAGGCCGGGTGAAAATTCTATTGCGTCGGAAGTGAAGGTGTTTTATTCTATAACTTTGAAAATGTTGTATGTTGTTT